GTTGGTGCAGAGCCTCTTTCAGAGCTGTTGCATCAAATGATCCAGTGCTGTTTGTTGTATGAAGTAAAACTTCTGCATTTGCATAGAGTAGGGGGGAACACAAATATCAAAGTCATTGGGATTTTGACAACATTCATGGCTTTGCACCCTCTCTTCACATCCACAGTGTCTATGTGGATGGTTAATCCTGCATTTCTGCAATTGCACACTGAGGTGCTGAAGAACYTGTTGCTGGTGCTGCTTTGGAATCACAATTTAACTTAATTTAAGCCAGGCTTTCCTTTGACAGGTGAGGATGCTGTTCTCATGTGATAAGCTATGAGTAGTGTGTATGTTTGTGGGAGTTTGGYGATCACCAGACCATGACTGAGCTTATTCTGCAGGCAGGAGAAGATTCATATTGCCAGRGCTTTTGGTAGAAGACTTTCACTCCTTCCCTGCTGTAGAGCATTCTGACCTATGTAGAAATTCATTTGATGGCCATCCAACAGTCATCTGACAGACCACAACTTCTGAGAGTTATCAGCCTGACAGGGCTTGGTTTGTCCACGGGAGAGTCAACAGCTCGGGACTTCCAGGCTTGTACCTTGCCCTGGGCTAGGAGTTTGGAGGAGGAAAATGCAAGAGTGTGTTTGGTGAGGAGTGAAACGTTACCTCAGTGCAGAGGTGTGTGTTCAGATGAGGGTGGCAGCTGTGGGACCAGGCTGGGAGGACCATTCCTGTTTTCTCCACAATGCTGTGCCCAGGTCACCAGCACCAGGACCTYGGTCTGGGTGTGTGCTTGGACTGGCATCCAAGGGGAACAACATCCAAGGGATTTCAGAATTTATGCCAGAAGGGTAAGTGGTGGAAGAAGAAATGGGAAAAAGATAGAGAGCGGAGATAATTATGCCAAGGATATATAATTACTCTTTGGCACTCCACCTCTTACATCACACAGGATCCTGAATATGCTGAGGTCAGACCTGGGAAATGTGCTGCAAGACAAACACTTCCAGCTGTTCTTCTGAAAGCAAATCTCAGCAAGTACCTTCCAGGAAGGAATGTGTGGGCTCACTTATTTTGGAAAAGAAAAAAATCGCACCATATCAAGCCTTCAGCATTCACCTTTGTAATTAAAATCTCTAATCACAAGCARAGTGCAGTATGTGACTGTCTTCAGGGAGCTGTTTCTTAAGGTGGTTTTCCATTTTTGCACTATTTAGCCCCTGCCTCGGTGCCAGGCTTTACTTAACCTTAAGCTTGTGAACAGGCTTATTGAATTTGGCCAAGACTTAACTAATCTGTAATGAGCTCCAGGTTGCCTGGAACTTGGCAGCGCCGCYGTGCTCTGTGCTGTTGCATAATGGCCTGACCCCATTAACCGCGGCTTCGCCTCGCGCCCCTTCTCCAACCTCCTCTCAGCTCCCATTCTGGAGCCCTGGGCTTCAYGGAGGAGCTGCCCTTGTAAGGGGAGTCCTGAGGGCAAAAACCTCCTGCTTTCATGCTCTTCCATGGGGAGAGAGGTGGGAGAAAAAGTACAGGAAAAGCCCAAACGTGGAAGCCCGCCAGGCAGAGAGGGAATGCAGCAGGGGCAACCAGATGAAAACTTGTGCCTCCTCCCAGGCATCTGTGGTGGGTGGAGAGACATGAGAGTTCAGACCATCTTTCTTCTCCTCCACTGGCTACATCAGACTGATTTACAGCCCCCTGTGGTCCCCCTGCACAYGTGAATGGAGGATGCTCATCCTGAAAGCTCTTCCATTTCAAACTTGCTAGGTGATTTTAACTGTCTATKATGTCATTTTAGTAAGAGCGACTTGAAGGACTCGACTGGTGAAAAATCACAGGAATAATTCAGATGCTGCTCTRAGTAAATTTTTTCCCCATTGTTTATTTAGATCAGCTCAACCACTTGAGAAACGCATTATTTGCTTTCTGCTTATTGAGTAGCTAATGATGAAAATAAATTGTTGCTGCTCTTTATTGTGCATTTCCCATAAGGCTGACACGGCACTGAGAAGGAACCGGATTCTTTTCTTCTAGCATGACACAGGGAAGATTGTTTATAGCACTTCAGCTCCAGCCCTCTGCAAGCCAGCTGAGAGCAGGATCATTAAAGGCAGGATTTAGAGGCTGTGGGGTTGCATAAATTGATTGAGAGCAAAATTTTTCAGACAAATATTCTGTAATGAGCAAGGAGGGAGGAATCTGGTTTGGATCTCACATACCCAGCAGTAAGCTGGAGAAAAAGATCTCCATACAGAAAAACAAAAAAAAAAAGTATAAAATGATCTTGCCTCGTTTGAAGATCAGAGTGCCAAATATAGACCCTATCGCATTTCCTTCCCTCCTCCTTCCGAAGCTCGTCCTTTTGAAGTGCAYTTTCAATGGGATGTGGATAATTGACTCTGCCAACGACTGACCGAGGGCTCTGTTGGTTTAACCGATTGGTCTCAGCTGCTGATTCCTGTTTTGTTTTGGATGATTTTCAGCCCAATTGCCCCGTCAGCTACAATTAGTCGCGTTAATATGACAGCTGAGAGGTCACAGATGAYTCGTGCTGGTCGCAGGCAGGAGGTGCTCCCAGTGTGTTGTCCTCAGCCCTCAAATTGATGCTCCTGTGCCCCCAAATTGATGGTGGTTGCAAATCCTAGTGCAATCAAAAGGGGTGTGAGGTTTGCTCTACAGGAGGGCGATTGAGGGAGAAATGAGGTTGCAATGACAACTAACATTTGGATGAACTTCTCTTTAATTAGTCAAGAAGGTTCCTGGTTCTGCATCCAGGGGAAATGTGGAATGGCCTCTCACCTGGCAGAGCTGTGAGGAGAGGAAGCAGAAGTGGGAGAGAGTTGTAGGCACATCCTGTGGTTCTTTCAACAAATCCATGGCCGTCGTTTTCTGTGGTTCCAGTGACAGCTGCCATGGCTTTGGGCTTTTCTCTGCTCCACTGAGAATTTCCACTTGGAGGAATAAAGTCAGGAAGGGAACAACATACAAATGAATGGAGTACAAATGGAGCTCATTTAATTTATTAAGATTAATAGGGGTCAGATGCACACAGGTGCAGGTSAGACATTGGACTCATGGGTCTCATGGTCAGTCTGTGGACATAACATGGCCAAAACAGTGCCACAGAAAATACAGACTGGCTGTACATTGGTATGTACATTGGGCCTTTTGTATGAGGAAGGAAACAGAAGGCACCCAAAGTGCCTCATTTGAATTATATAGCCCCAAAACACCACTGGAAGACCCCAGCTAGAGATGGTTTACTAACAAAACAAGATGCTGTGCCTGGGGAGGTTCTGCAATGGTCTGGTTTTGGTTTGGTGTTATTTGGCTTTTCCCTTAACTTCTGGATGATGGAAATGGGAATGTGTGTGTTCAATTCCCAGGCTGGGGAGGGCTCGAGCAGCCTGGCAGAGAGGTCTCAGGTGACCTCCACAAACTGGGCAAGTGGTGTGAAAAGGACAAGTTGTGATTAGGGAAAACCTGAATGATAGGAATATGTGAGAGTAAACCATCAAGAGAGGCTAGAGCTCTCTTGCCTCAGGAGATTTTTATCAATCAGTGGGGCAAACTTCCGTCAAGTGGCATAGATGTATTTGATGCTGCTGCTTCAAAGCACTGGTTGGAGAAAGTCTGCAGATCTTGAGATGAGATGAGTACTTTGTTAACTTTTTAAATGAAAAATTAACATTTCTATGAGGAGCACATACTTGGTGAAAAATCCCTTGGCCAAGGACCAACATTTTCCTCGAGCAGTTTGGTGGCAGCTTTGCAGGCCACGTGCTGTGCTATCGTGAGCATCAATTCTGCTTGAAGCCACACAGGTCTGGCCTTACAGGAACATACAGCCTGCACAAATCCCCCCTCTGTTTCTACAGAAACTGCACTTTCTGCAGACATCTGTGAGGCCCAGAGGTCATTGTGCTRTGCTGAGCTTATTCCCTGTAAATCTCATCTGGGAGTTGTTCCTAGTGGAGATAGCTAGGGCTTTTAAACAGCCCAGCAGCAGGAGACTTCTTCTATCAGTGTGTTTCCATCCATGTTTGGGCAACACAATGAATGCAGATGTAGTAGGAAACTTTTGATTATCTGTAGGGTTTTTCTGTGAAAACTTCAAAGCTCTGTGGTTAGTTATATTGTGAGACTTTAAATGGATATGTCTTGTGCTCAGAGCTCTGATTTAATGTTCTGGTTTAATCTATTGTCCAAACATCATTAATGTTGTCTTTGAGGCATGGGACAGCTTTGATGGAGTCTTTTTTTTAATTTCTGGCTGTCACCGTGTGCAGCCATAAACAACATCCTGTCTGCTAATGAGAAAATTCAAGTTATTGCAGTCACATGTCTTGTGGAAATAGATTGTAGTGGCAGGAGAAAAAAAGGAACCGACTTTGCTCACCTTCCACCCCTAGCTGGCATGAGCATTTGGATTACTGACAGGGAGGAGAAGTTTCTATGGATTGAGATACTCCATTATAGAGCAGTGTGGCCTTTTTAAAATGAAATGATTCGTTTCATAGTCATATTCATTAATTCCTTAACCTGCCTTTGTGAGTTTTCTATCTGAAACATTTCCTAATTAATGCCTTGCATGTCAGTTGTCAGGCTTAACTCTTCCTAACAAATTCAGGTTTGTGGAAGAATTTGACCCCTCCTTCCAGTGTGCAGTGAGGGAGTAGGATCCTCCATCATACACCCAATAAACCAAGTGCATGATATTGGTATCCTATCATCGCTTTCCCTTTTTCCCCATCTTCTGTAAAACTTGATTGGAAAGTAAAMCTTGGGCATGTATGACCTTAGGAAGWTGGGGCAGGAGTGGCAGCWCTGCTTTCTGCCTTCTCCCCTGCCATRTAAGTTGACATTCACCCTTTCAGAMGTTCATTGCAAGCAGCCCCTGCAGTTGTGTGTGTTTGGAGGGTGGGTGAGAGGGGYTSAGAGCAGCTKGAGRGGTTTCTGCTGCCCTGGTGGYTCCTGAGGTTCCCCTCTCACCCTCCATGTCCCTGCAGAGCACGGCTTCGTGGGCTACTCRGAAGAGCTGATGGTCAACAACACCCTGCCAGACTACAGCCAGGGCGAGTCCTTCTTCACTGTTTTTGGAGTGTTTTTCCCAGCTGCCACAGGTACGGTTAAGTTTTATCCTCACCCTTTTTTCCTCCACAGGAACATCTCAGAGATGAGCAAGGGGAGCTCCTCTGGGCTGCAAGGCAAAGCCAGCAGGACTGTGCTTGGCCACAGCAGAGCAGACCCAAATGGTCAATTCAAATGTTCAACCATCCCTCCAGCATCTCAAATTTTTCCCTCTTGTCTTGTTCACTTGAATGTGCTCTTCTGTCTCTCTGGTCAGCAGCTCATGGTGAGCTCTGTGGGTTGATGTGGTGCTGTAACTCCTTCCCTGCTAAGGACAAGGCCTGGGCACTGATTTTGGCCAATGCTGTCAGKAGGTGTGGAGCTTATTTAAAAGGGCTGATCATGATTTATCATATCAGATAAGCCTTATGACTGGGCTGCCCTGGGAGAGCAGGAAGAGCACAGGAGGGTTTTCCCTCCATCCTTCCCTCCACAGGTGGCAGAGCTGGGCTGATGCCATTGCCCATGATGCTCCCASCACTCTGCATGGTGTCCTGGGTTCATCTTTGAGTGTCAGCAGAACCCATATTTATTAGCTTAATTAGATATCTTGCTATTATTCATTCCCTTAAATTACCAGGAAGATGCATGTCCCCTTCCCAGAGCTGACAATCTCCAGTGGGAATGCAGTAGCTATCAGCTGAAGTTACAATACCTTTTGTTGATGCTGGGTGTTTTAAGCTATAAAAAGTACTGATTATAAGCAGTTTCCATAGTGATGAATCTTTGGATTATAGAATGAATTTTCAGAGGATTAGCTCTAAGCAACTCACTGGAAGTTGCAGAATTGTTGTGGTACAAGGAGAGAAATGAAAGGGTTTTATGAACAGATGGGACTGGAGGAATGGTCTGGTAGCAGAAGTCACTTTGTCAGGTGCACCTGGTGCAGAACTTCAAGTTTTTCTTTGAAATCCTCTCTGCCACCTTACCAGGCTGGCTGTTGCCTCTGTGTAGGCTTCCTCCTGGAAAACTCACCTTCCTGAACTATTGGCAGCGTGGAGAAAGTGGCTTCTGCCCTCMTTTTTATTGTAATTTTTGACTGATCCAGGTGAGCCCCCAAGAAAACAAGATCTTCCTCATGARCTCTGCCACTGGTGCAGGAAAGCAGATCTTTTTCAGTTCCTTGGTTATAAAAGAAAGAACAATTATGACAAAACTGTGCAGAAAATTACMGTGATTAGCCATATTAAATGATTCTTCATCACTGCTAATGCTTGGCTGCTAGGAAGAATGCCAAAGCTATTAGATACAATTTGTTTAAAGCCCTGGCAGCCTGTTGCTCTGTTTAGTTAGCAGTAGCAATACCAGTGGTAATGTCAAACATTCTCTGAAAATACAGTTTGGAGTGATGTACAATCACTTTGGTCGTTAACACAGCTTTTTAATGTGTYCTTTTTAATTGCATGGTTATTTACAGGATTTAAATTATTCCTTCATAGCAGCAGTGCCAGTGGTACCATATAACATCTCTGTAGCTCCTGTCATTGCTGTTTGGAGCACTGTGGAGTTCAGGAGCCCCATAAAAATGCAGGGCTGTGTTTGGTGCTCTGCATGGAAGAGCTTGTGGTYTGATTGATGAATTTCTAGGATGGGAGACGAGATTTCTGTGCTGCAGGGCAGGCAGCATGGTGCAGGATGTGACTGAGTGGCACTRAGGAATGACAGGGACAGGTTAGCACTGCTCCCAGGCTGTCCCCTCCAGCCTCTGGTCCTCCCCACCACCATCCCTGAGTGTACCCACCTCTGGAACCCCCACAGTGACCCAGCTGAAGCACTGGAAGCAAAATCTTTTGCCTTAAGATACAACAGAAATTTGGGGAGAATTTCAGGAAAGCATAGTGCTGTTTAGTTTTGAAGGGTTACACAGAGCCAGTTTGAAACAGTTCTTTGATCCGGAGCAATGTACTGTTTATTTTTAATTGCTAAATGTTATGTTTACTCTTTTTAATTTTTAGCATATGCTAGTTTACAATTTAAGATGCTATTTTGATAGCAAAGCTTTTAAAAAAAAGTTTCGGAAATTGTGAAACAAATTGTTTGGGCCTTTCTGAGATGAAATGTTCCTCTTTGAAGTGAAACTATTTTGATCTCTTCAGGGTAGGCTTTTTCCTCTCTCTCTCTCTGAAATAGCTAGTGAATTGAACCAGGTTAAGTTTGGTCTCTGGGAATACTGAGAGGTGGTTCTAAGTTGCCTATTGTGAAACAGAAATGCCTGAAATTCAGGCTGGGAAAAGCAAAGAGGGGCAGCCACTTCAGCAAGKGGGAGCAGGACCTGTGGGAACACCCTTCCAGGACAGGCAGGAGGAGCAGTTGGGAATATGCTTTGACTAATGAGCACAGGATGGTCATCCCAGCCTTAGGCAGACCAGTGGCAACGTGCTGCCTCCTACCAGCATCCTCCTTGGATTGTTTTGCTCCAGGTCAGGTTGTTTTCTCTGCTCCTCTGTGTTTTATTGGTACGACTCCAGCAATGTGAGTGAAGCTATCCCAGTTTTACGGCAGAGGATGGTCTGTTTGCTCCCTGTACGATGATAGCTGCTGAAACCATTTCAGCTGGATGTTCAGTGCAGATGGCTTTATTCCCCCACTTTTGCCATTTGATCATAGGRAAGCAGCCCAGCGATCCAAAACACACATCCAGAGCTGGCCTAGACRGGACAGCACGGGCATGGAAGGCTCAGATTTGCTGGCTTTGGACAAAAATCTTAAATGTGCGCTGTGGAAGATGTGAATATGCCCCTGTAGAGATGCTGTGCATTAACCAGATGCTCTCCTACACGTTTGTAAACACCTTCTCAATGCACACGTTTTGCTGCTGTGCTGTGATAGGTGAACATTTGGCTGCTCACCCAGCCAGGGCTTTTCAACAGGGAGGAGTCTCGGGAGCYGCCTGCCCACAGTCAGCTCCCAGCCACACAGCCATCAGTGTGTTCTTTAAAATCAAGATAAATGCAATTTCTGTTGTGCAAAAATATGTTTTCCTACTAAATCCCCGAGGTTTTCTGTCTAATGAAAGAAGTGTGCTGTCTTGTGACACAAGAAAGTAAGATAGCGTTAGTGGAAAATATCGTCGCACAGAAAGCAGCTCTGAAATAAACCATATTTGGCACTTGCCAAATGACAGCAAATAGATTCAGAAGTTTTGGGCTAAGTTATCAGATGATGTAAACTGGCACAGCTCCATAGAAATCCATGGCGAGGTGCCAGCTTACATCAGTGGAGAAGCTGGCCCTTTAAAAATAATTATTATAAAAGATTTTCCATTCTCCATCTCCTGGGCGAAAGGATAAAACCCACCTTTTGTATTTTGTCCTGTGTTCACTGAAAAATGCGCTGGGCGTTCTGAGAGCGATGGTATCTGCAGCTGCAGCCCATGGCTGGTGCAGCTGATGGATTGTCCCACACACCGTGTAGGTGGTCCCCTCAACATCCACCGCCTGGATGATGCCCAGCACCAGATTACACTGGGAATAGCAGCCCTGTACACACTGTCTCAGCCATAATTTCCTGGCTGGGTTGACTGTGTTTTCATGCTTCTTTGTCCAGAAGCTTTGTCACTATCTGCTGCTCTCTAAGATAATAGCCAGTGTGGAAAATCCAGSCTGCTATCTCGTCGAAACAGAGAGGTGGATCATTTTCTCCATGGACAATCTGCAGATATGATTGCTCGAGTTCAGAAGGGATTGACCATTTCCCTAGGGACAGGCCTTGTGTCTGAAGGAAGGAACATCCAGATTTCTCTGGGTTGCTGAGTTTTAGAGTGAGGTTTTTCCTCTGTCGAGCAGCCAGAATCTCTGACAGGGCTTTTTGTGGCTTCTTGCAAGTCAGGTCGGTTCTCTGGCAGAGGGTGACYGAAGCTACGGATTGTGGAGATTGTTTAGGATGTGATTTTTTTAAATTAGTCATGCTGTCCTTTCATTGAAAAGTGGGTTGCTTAGCCATCTGCTTGCAGAAGACCCACTCAGAACTGCTCTTTGGCAGCTGTCCTGACTTTTTGGGTGGTGGTRGAGAGGTGGCTTTGGCATTGTCCATACATCTGTATTTCCAGACTGTCCAAACCTTTGCCCTAATCAGGCCAGAGCCATAACTGCAGCCCAGAGGAGATGGCTTTGGCCTGAGTGGCTGAGAATGTCTGAGCTGGTTCCCTCTGTGGTGGCACTGACCTTTGGTTGTGGAACCCGTGAGACTCTGGTGACCTCCTGCAGTGGCCTGGGAGTGACCCCTGGTCAGTGGCGGCCAGGAGGTCAATGGTCAGTGTCAAGATCCTCTTTTTGTGGGCTCTGAGGAGGAGGAGTCACATCCTGGCTGCCCTGGGGTGTGCGTGGGGCTGTGGGAGGGAGCCCAGCCTGTGCACTCATCGCCGTGCCGATGACTCACAGATTCAACTTTTTTATGTTCGGTCCAGAAAATGCCATTTTGGTGTTTCCCCAGTGCTTTGCTGAGGCAGGACTTTGGATGAGGAAGAGGTGACTCAAGCTGGAAGATTTAAAGGTGGTGCCAGATGTTTGAGAAACTTGGCCAAGAAGCACATGAGATTAACAGCTGTCCTCCTGACAATAGTTTGTTCCCTTTGGAAGAAAAATTCGGAGTATTCTGAATTTTCTTCTTTGTCTCTGAATTGCAAAGCAGCATGTCATAAAAAAGTACTTCATAGAGACTTTATTTAGCATATTTGTGACCATTTCCTCRGCCTTCCTCCTTCCTGACTCTTCTCACCTCCAGCTAAGCCTATTGTGTAGCTGTTTGAAAGGAGCAGGGTTTGAAGCTTTATCTAGGGAAAACCAGAGCAGTTGACAGGCTTTTAGCTGTGCTGTTCAGAAGTACATCCACAAAAGAGTCTTCCAGGAGAAAATTAGGAACATGATTTATAATGTTTTCAGTATGGTGTCAAGGATTCAAATCTGGTCTGAATCTGGAAAAAAAAAAAGCTCTTCCAGGAGCTGAGGAATGCCAGGACTCTGTGGGGACCAGGAGCTGCTCTCAGGGCTCTGGCTCCAGGATGGAGATGACAGAAAAGGATGGCTGGTGCGTGGACTGATCAAGGGGAAAAAACAGAGATGATCAAGGAAGAAGCATTAATAATAAATAAATAAAGCCCTGGATGCGTTTGGCAATGTGTGAGTGCCCATTTCCATGCTGTCCTCATGGCAGGGCAGCGAGGAGAGGAGCAATGTGGAGATGGTGCTGTGAAGATGCACAGCAGAGCCTGGGGCAGAGCAGAGCAGAGTTCCTGTTCCATGATTATCAGCACAGGCACTGCTGACAGCCCATCAGTGGCCAGGCAGGGACTGTAGGGAACTGGGAATAGGGAATGGGAATAGGGAATAGGGAATAGGGAATAGGGAATAGGGAATAGGGAATAGGGAATAGGGAAGGCATCCATCTGGTTGATTCGGGTTTGTCCCCTTTACCCTGAGATTGCTCCCATGGCTCTTGTCTATCCTTCATCTTAGGAAAAAACCCTTCCAAGCAGCAATCAGCGTTGGAGCTTTAAAATGCAATGGGCTGTTGCTGATTTAGAGCTGTAGTCACTCAGATCTGCAGCTGCAGAGTGTGACTTTGTCATTCCTGTGTCCTCTGGGCATGAGCAGTGGCTTCTGGGCTTGGCAGCCGTGGTGGACTGGTGTGTGGTCAGTCCCCTGCTGCTGTGAGTGCCATGGCTCTGGTGTCCTCCTTCCCATTGTTCTGTGGTGACCTCAGCCTGGCTCCAGGGACAGTGYCACCATCACTGCTGGCTGGCTCCTGGCCCATGGGTCCTTGTGAAGACATTAGTCTGACATCCACAATGATGGCCAGAAGGCTGGCATCTTAAAGAGCCTCTTCAGTCCTGCTTTCAAATTCTACAAATCGTATCAGGATTCCAAATCACACATTTTTATTTTCTRTTTCTTATTTATTTTTATTTATAGAAGATACCCAAAGTCTTCTAGGAAAACTTTTGGCTGGTATGACTCTTTGAGCTATGGACAAAGCGCCTGAACCAATCTGTACCTTGGCTTTCAGTGGAGACTGTAATCCTCTTCTTCATCCTGTTTCCCTTTCTTGMGCCTTTAGATGGTAATTTTTTAGGCTAAGGACCGTCCATGATTGTATAATAGCCTGTACTCTGGCCTAAAATAACAGCTCAGTGTTTTATTCTTAGTCCTGCCATGTGTTTTCTACGTGACACTGGGACAATCACTTGCCCTCTCGGTGTTTCTGTTTTCCTATCTGCAAGGCAGAGATAATGCCTCCTTCCACTGCAGATCCCTTGGCTGCAAGGTGCCACCTACGTGCCGAGAGCACTGTTRTTCCCCCTGCTAATGTGATCATCATTTAGCAGGGACAGGACAGGCTGTTTTGTGGCAGTGGCTGTCCCMTGTCAATGCAGGGACCTGCTCTGGGGGTTGTGCTGCCCTGATGAACAGAGGCGTTTCTCTTTTCAGCAGCTGGGCAGCATTGTCTTCTGTTAGGTTTGTATGAAGATGAGATGGGTTTTGTTCACATGCTGTTTCTTTTGCTCCCAGCATTGTTCAAACTGGACAAAGGGCAYTTTGATGTGTTAGTGGGGGCTTGCTTCTGTTGAAGACATGAACAGTTTTTTTACCAAGCGATTGGAGGGAGCCAATATTCATCTGTGTGGCAGTGCCATGAAGTGATACAGTTACTGTTCTGGAGCCACCAATGAACTGCTTGATTAAATTATATCACATATTGCAATGTGTATTATATATACCATAACCTTGATTCTGAACTGCACTTGTGTCTGCAAAATACAGGTGTGATGGCTGGGTTCAACATGAGTGGAGATCTYCAGAAGCCTTCTACCAACATCCCTCTGGGGTCTCTGGCTGCTATTGGCACCTCGTAAGTCATTGGGTGGGGAAAATTCAYTCAGGAGACTGCCCTGACTGTGACCAATCAATTTCATATTCCCATCAACCTTTTATTACTCAGCCATCTGGAGAATTAAAGCGTGGCTGTGGTTCGAGTTATCATCCATCAGCACCCTGTGCTCGGGGTGGGTAGAGGAGCTGTTTGTTGGTGCAGATGTACTCGGTCCTTCTGCTGCTGGGTGGGATTTCTGCTGGTGCTGGGCTGCTCGTGCTGCTGCAGCCTGGCTATTCCAGAGCAGGATACAGACTTCTCCAAGGTCTGATTTTCTTGTTCTTTGTGTTGATTTCAAAGGGGTTTTCTTCCTTTTTTTTTTTTTTTTTTTTTTTT